GATATTTTGCCTGTAGCTTTATTTTAGATCACTTTTAAGGTTGCAAGTGTGAGATTTATACCAGGTGAGCGATGCAGGCCCATTGGGCCTCTTGTATTGGGTTAGTAATGCAATGAAGTTAAGGGGAGAGGGTTATACTGAAATCACCCTGTCTGTCTGTCGTCCGCAGTAACCAGTAACTTGTACAGAAAACTCATCCTTAACTGACGGGTGGATTTCATTGAAACTTTGCATGAATGATGGATATCTTATTTAGTTGTTGTGCACTGGCATTTTAATTAGGGATTTCTACCCTTTTTGATGGAGTTATGCTCCTTTGTGCGAAATACTTGTCCATGCAACTCCTACACTTATGGGTGGATTTCTTTTCTTTAGCCTTTGGCTTACAGTTTTAGTTGTATTGAATTAGACCTTTAACATAATGCTGTAAATTATTATAATGTTTGTGACCCCTTGCAGGTTGGGGAACATGAAAAGAATACACCTGCTGTTTCCCCCACTGCAGGGAACGTAAGAGGCGACTAATGTGGGGATCCCTCTGCAGAATTGGGGATTTGCTTTTTTGTCCTCCTTTCGGCGACATAAAAGTGAACAAATAATTCTGTATCTACATTTTATTTTTTTATTTTTTTGTTATTTTATTTTGTTTTTGTTTTTAATGAAATAGTGATTAACTCATCACTGGTGGGAGACTATAGCTTTGCATTAGTAAGCCTTTAGCTTACAATTCTGGTTTATATAGGAGCGGGGGTATTAGTTAGCCTTTGGCTTACAGTATCTGACCTTCAAAGGTGGTCCAGGTAATTCAGCACTTCATAGAACTTTACAACATTAAGCTACAGGCAAAATATACCCTTTTCTCTGAGTTAGAGATGCCTTTCTATTGTATATTTGAAAGTTAGAAAAAATGATTAATAATTTGGAACTCGTCTTCATTGGAGATACAGGATAGTGCTGTAACTCTTTACCTTAATGTAGTATTCTAGAGCAAACGTTTCATGTTATGTAAGCATGGTTACCATATACACAATATGGGTCTTTGTTGGAAGATGTTATTACTTGGTACTCTACCTCTATAAATCCTCTTGGGAAGAAAATTACTCACTGCAATAATCTGAGTTCTTTTTAAGATTGTCACTGTCCTAGTTCTTATTAGATTGTCCCTGTCCTAGTTCTTATTAGATTGTCACAGCTGTCATTCAGTGAGATCCTGAACTCCTTAGCACTTTATTGAATTTAGCTCTACAGGGACAGTATAATATAGTCTCGCGACAGTGGCTTTGTTGATTGCATGCACAAACACATGAATTTCCTAACATTTGGTATTCTTTCCATGAGTCATGGAATGATCACCAAATGTTATATTCATCTGTTTGTGCTTGCTTTTGACATGGTCACTGTCATTTTGAAATTTATATATTGATAATATAGCCCCGCTTTGACCTCTGGGGGGTATATAGTATTCATAGATATATGTGATGGTTAATATGCAGAATTGTCTTTCATTTTTTAACTCACCTGGCACAAAGTGCGTCCGTCCG